GATTGAACTCTGGTGCAATGGAAGAAGGTCATGTGGTCTGATGAGTCAAGATTTACCCTGTTCCAGAGTGATAGGTGCATCAGGGTAAAAAGAGAGGCAGATGAAGTGATGCACCCATCATGCCTAGTGCCTACTGTACAAGCCTGTGGGGGCAGTGCTATGATCTGGGGTTGCTGCAGTTGGTCAGGTCTAGGTTCAGCAACATTATGTGTCCAAAAAAATGAGGTCAGCTGACTACCTGAATATACTGAATGACCAGGTTATTCCATTAATGGATTTTTTCGTCCCTGATGGCACGAGCATATTCCAAGATGACGATGCCAGGATTTATTGGGCTCAAATTGTGAAAGAGTTGTTCAGAGAGCATGAGACATCATTTCACACATGAATTGGCCATCACAGATTCCAGACCGTAACCCCATTGAGAATCTTTGGGATGTGCTGAAGAAGGCTTTGCACAGTGGTCTGACTCTCCCATCATCAATACAAGATCTTGGTAAAAATGAATGCAACACTGGACGGAAATAAATCTTGTGACATTGCAGAAGCTTATCGAAACAATGCCACAGCGAATGCGTGCCGTAATCAAAGCTAAAGGCAGTCCAACAAAATATTATAGTGTGTGACCTTTTTTTTGTTGGCAACTTTTTTTATTATCATCCGTGACCATGCCAAAATAGATTTACTTTTGACCATATCAAATATTTTAACAAATATCAAAAACTGTTACTATATTATGTAATATATTTCTGAATAAAAAAAATTAATTGATGGTAACCAAGCACAAAAACTCAATGACTCACTGTCTAAACTCATCACAAATCACACACGCTCCATTATACAAGCTCGATACAAACGTTCAGGCAAATTACTGGTGAAACATTAAATCCACAGTATTTAGATTACTCACACTGTGTGAAAGAACTTGTTTACTCAGAAACGTATATCAGGGTTATTCACTAAAATGAGAACTGTGAGTGAATTTAAAATTTTAGACCAAAATAGCCAAACTATAAGCATACCTGGAGTTTCCCAATCAATTTTTCCTACTTTGAATTACCAAGATTATGGGTAATCAATATCAAATATTATTCAAAAAAATTAATTCAAAAGCAAGTGGCCTTTGCGAAAGGAAGCAAATCCATTCAGGGGATGTAAGCAGTATTTGCTGCAGCGATAGGCCTGAATGATCAGAATGATTTTGGTCTTAGCTTGGCCCCACTTTTTCAGAACCTAGGGGTTCTTTGGAATTCCCTTCTTCTTCTAATGTAATATGTGATCTATGATAACACCCTTAGTGGTTTTACTACAGATCCTGTAATCATAGGATGGGGAGTGAATCCACTGTCACCTTTGTTGATCCACTAGGCCAGGGTCCCTTTAGTTGTCACTATCCTCAAAAGGAAGGACTTTTCATGGGACCAGCTTTTATTATATGTCTCATGCTGATACATAACTAAGCATTCTGGTTGACCCCTGTATGAATGATATAACATGATGCTGGAATCCAGATTAATTCTAGCCATCTGACACCACCATTTACGTCAGCTCCTTTGACCAGGTTTGGAAGCCCCATTATATTAACTAGTTGTGTGACTGTGATTCCAAAAATAACCTTCTTGCATCTGTGCTCACAAAACTTTAAAAAAACACAAAAAATGAGAAAGTCCTGGAGGATTGGACACACTTTACTCTATCCCTCATGTACTGTGTGTGCCTCCAGAAACCCACAGTTTTCCAAAATGTTTTATATCATTTACAAATGTTAATGCATTTTCAAACCTGATGAGAGGCGGGTACACTTATTCTCTCCCTTTCTCTAGAGCAGGAGGTGGCCACAAATCTCCTCAATTTTGTGTTTTAGATCAACATTTTCTTCTCAATATTGCACGTTGTTAACTTTTACTACTCTTCTCTACCAGTTCCTGTACATTCACTCGGTACACCAATAATGGTATTCTCTGACATTCAATTATCAATTTCTAAAAATCCCTCTATTTCAACTTGGGGAAGAATACCATACTTTCCAAGGATGATATGAGGCAAATCTTATGTACAGAGAGATGAGGGAGAATCCTCACTACGTATAGTTTAAATTTCCCAAGCTACAAATCACCTGATTTTTCACCTGATTCATTCTGTTGCCCACAAGATCATTTTACATTTCAAGAAATGGACTTCTTAAACCTAATTGAGTGCAGCTATAAATAACAAGATTTCCTACTCTATCAACTACATGTCCAGCCGGCCACCACTTTTCAGAAAATACACATTTCATAGCTCATGCAGCATAATATTCTCCTAAACAAAAGGAACTTTACATTAAAGGATCACTTCAAGCACCATAAACACGACAGCTCACTGTGGTTTTGGTGCCAGGTGTGTCCCACCACCCTGTTCTCCATGTAAGTAGTCAAGCCATTTTTTAACAATTTGACTTCTTACTCACCTACTCACTGCTCCCTGCCTTGACTATTTTCACAAGAGACCAAGAAGCTCCTGCTTCGGAACTTCCGTAAGCTCTCCTGAGCTAAGCACTGCAGTTCAGAGCTAGCTCATTTGCTGGGAGCATCAGCTGATCGTTCTCAGTCAGTTTACTAAGTCCTGCACTGTCAGGCTTAGCTCAGAGTTTCAGGCTCCCTTTTGCAAGTAGTGGAAGCAGGGAGCAGTATCCAGCCAACCCTAGGTAAGAAGTCAAACAAGTCTAAAACGATTTGCATACTTACAATGGGGTGTGACTGGCACCATAACCACTACAGTGTACTGTAGTATTTATGGTGCTCGGAGAGTATTCCTTTCAACTATTACATTTAAATACAGATGTCTGGAGCTGTTCAACCGTTTCTCAGTATAAAACAATTTTTAAGACATAAAATATCAGCAAATCAGGTCCATATGGACATTAAGTCCAGTCGGCTCCAGTGTATGCAATCTGGGGATCCAAAAGGTTTCACGTTGGGAGAGTTGTCTTAATCTATCTCCCCCTCTCCAATATGGTTTGATTTTTCCTATTCCCATACATCTAAAGTTTTTAAAATTGAATATTGGACAAGAATTGCAGTACACTGGAACCGAGTGAGACATAAGGCCTTTCCTGATGTTAATCGCATATTCCATAAAACTAAATTTTAATGCCCTCTTGATGTGACCTATATATTGCTTGCCACACGGACACTGCAGCAAATACACGACTTGATTTTAAATTTCTCTCCAGTGATAGAGCTGGTAATTTCCATGGTTTTGGCTAGACTCATAGTTGAACATGCTTTGCATCTACCACATCCACTAAAAACATTAATGTCCGTGAATGAAATCTTATTACATCCCAGTGTTTTTTTAATGGCATAGCTGGGTGCCAAAATATTTTTCAAATTTTATTTTTTCCTAAAATTAACTGTGGTTTGTTTTGGTAACATGGTTCCCAAGATTGGACCCTGTAATAAAATGAGCCAGAATTTACATAGACCTTTTTTAATCTTCCAATGGTCTTTATTATATTTCGTTCAAAAAGCTTGTTGGAACCCGGCTTGTTTTATGGGTTTTGGTTTATCTAACATTAAATCACTTTAATGTTAGGTATTGGCGGACAACCTTATCACTTTAATGTTAGATATTGGTGGCCAACCTTATCTCTTTATCCACTGATATAATAAGAACTCAGTGGATAACATATGTGCATACTTTTCTTACACCTGAGTGCAATCATTACAGTAATAAATTGATTTAAATATACAGTGTTGCACTATGTCCTGTTTATGTTTATTGTTTTAGATATACAACTGTATGCCACTTATTTTGATGTACCTATCTCTGCTCTATGTGAGATCACTTACAGGGAATGAAGCTTTCCTACCGGCTGGGCCTAATGCGCTCTCAGCATTCATTGAGCCTGCGCATTAGGTCCCCTACCCTTGTTGGATGATGTTGGAGGAGGCTGAGTGCTGACGCAGTGCCGTGGGAGACTAAAGGTCTTTTTGGTTTTTTTAACCCTTTAGCTTCTAGGAGGGAGGGGGGAGGCAGTGATAGGAATACAGATTTGTATACCTAACACTATGGAATCCCTTTAAGGGATTAAAAGATAGAATCATACAACCATAGCTGTACGACTGTTCAAAACGATGTGCCTTTTATTCACACTGCAAATTGATTAGGTGATGCAGTTTATTTTATATTTCAATATATTTTCTTGACCAAACAAAAAGGTTTGACACATTAAGCAGGTAATTTAATTTTTCTTAAAGTCAATCTCTCAGTAACAAAGTTTCACCAGTCCTTAATTAGGAGAGCTGACATGATTAACAACATTTTCTGTGCTTTTCCGCAGTCAGAATACTGATTACCCTTTGTCCGCAAGTGACCTAATTAGTTAATAAAATAATTGAATATTAAAAAGGATGTTGCCAGTGATTAAAATGTAAGAAGCAATCAGAACATTATTAAATCCTATAAATCATGTATCAGTCTGTTCATTTGCATATGCGCATCACCATCTAATGCTCCCTGCTCCCCTCCAATTAGTCTGTGCTCACAACGTGTACAGATTGCTGGTGAAAGCCCGATGGAGAGGGGAAAAAAAGCAATACTGAAACATCACGAACAGCTGCTCTGGGTGTAGAGTTAAAACCCTCTAATTTAGGGCAATTTGCTAATTTCTTTCAAGCATGTCTCAAGCACACTGGTGACCTAGATGTAAATTGGCATACAAGTGCAATTCTGATAATGGGTGAAAGTGCTATTAACTAGAATAAAATATGTTCATTTTTTTCATCTTTACCAGACCAAGCCAGGTTTTGCAATAGAAAACCAAAGATGTGCATAATCAAAGAAAGATCCATCAATTTATAACTGTGATGTTATTAAAATCATATGAGTTTTAGAACATTTTTTAAGGAGGAAATAGGCAACTATCGTAAAACAAAAAGGGGGTAATTTATTAGAGCCTGCATCCACAAATTAATTTCCAAATTGACAATAGAGTCCCCAGTAGTCTTACTGAGGAGTCCTTCAGACGTGGAGTTTTTGATCCGGTTAACCCACTCCACCCCTTTCAATGTAAACAGATTTTCCTTATCAAAGGGAGGTGAACGAAGGTGAGTCATTTTCCTGCAGTAGTAGTCTCACCCATGATTATCAATCATGAAGTGTGACTTGCAATAGAGTGAACATGTTTTAAGGCATTCATATATGTTCTAGCAAATAGGGGGAAAAACTGTTATTTGCTTTAAAGTGATATTCACTTTTCACCAGTGGTCTGTCCGTTTTCAAAATATTACATGCAATAGAGCCACTGTGTGTATAATTTTGGAATGCTTATATTATTAGTATTCTAATGATAATACGTAAACACTTCTTTTGTAGCATGGGAGCAGCTATCTTTAACTCCTTTTTGCTTGGAACCATTACTAATTTGACCAAAGGTAACAGAGAGCTAGCACATGTTTACGATTGCGGATGTTATGCATGTGGACTGCGCGACTCAAGCCCATACTTTGAGCCAATTTCAAAATTGTGAATGATCATCAGCCAAAAAAGTAGTGCTTTGGACAAAAAGGAGGTAAATACTGAAACATCATGAACAACTGCTCTGGGTGTAGAGTCCAAGTCCTCTAATTTAGGGCAATTTGCTCATGTCTTTGAAAGCATGTCTCAAGTACACTAATGACCTAGATATAATTTGGCATACAAGTATGCATGTATATCTCTACAAAATAACATACACACAAGATATAGATTATACAATCTTAATTTAGTTGTTGGTGAATTTTAACAATCCTATTTTAAACAATTAATTCCTTGAATTATTACCAACAAAATAACCAAAACAAGAAGGTAGAAATAGCAGACATTTCCAGGTATTGATAAAGTCAAATAAATGATCTGTTTTTAAAACATTTTTCTAAATGAGAGTAAAAAGTGCCTCTTATGTAGTATATAGATGAAAACTAACCTAAGTGCAACTTTTTAATACTCCTTAAAATAGAAATCTTTGCTTGCCATTTGTAATTTGAAGTTTATTTTTGTGGTTTTTTTTCTCTTGTCTTACCATTTATCCATCTCTTACTTCCATGGCATTTATCATGTATGATTTTACGGGTACCTTTACGTCAGGATTTTTATATAGATAGTCACACTGAAATGCTGCTTGTCATAATCATATATAAATATAAAAATAGTAATTTGCATTGCTATGGATAGCTTCAATTTGAGTTACACCCCACACAGTCAAACAGCCAAATTGTGCATTGTCACATAGCACAATCAAAATAGTAATATTTTTATTGAACACAAAAGGGGGCATGGAAATTAAAGCTTGTCAATTCACATTTTAAGATTTTATTTCAATAATAAAAAAAAAAAAATACCATAATCTAATTTACTCTTGGTGTTTTTTTTGAAGCAGTGAACACATGGTAGGCACTTAATAAAAAAATTAAAAAAATATGTTAAGGCATCGCACTCAGCGTATATACAGACATTCCTGGAATGTCTAAGCTTCAATCAGAATGCAGAATTTCAAAGTCACACTTGTGCCACCAAGTGGAAGGTAGTAGATTCTGCCAAGTTGCAGAGTCTGCAGCATCCATCAATGTCAAGGAGGGGAGTGAAATATGTCTAGAATAGGCTCTCATCTAAATCCATGGGATCACCCCTTCCCCTGGAGATGAATGCTATCCTCTCCTATGCAGGACTGAGCACATGCACCTGCAGTGTTTGTATTGCTATAATCAGCTATGACTGCTGTTTAGTCACCAATATTGATTAGTAATATATTTTCTCCTCTAATAAAAACTTGCTTTATGTGCCGCGTGAAAACCTGCTGATAATCCACCTTCTTCTTCCGATGTCTATTCTGCTGTTTCTTCACAGTATTCTCCTTTTTACCTTCTTCTGGTGTCCAACTGGCTCTGTCAGCTGAATACGAAGAAGTCTCTGGTTTGGATGATAACTTGTGGCTTTCTTTACTTTTTCCATCTGTAGGGTGAGTTTGGGGAAAAAGCTGTTTCTTTGATGTATCCTCTCCAGATTCTGTAGTTTGTAAGCCTGATTCCTGGAGTTTCAACCTTTCAAACAACTGCAATACAGAATTAGCATGATGTAGGAATGTGCTGTGGCAGAATGTATAACAAAACTTATAATAATAAAAAGAAAATAAAAAAAAAACACTTTAAAGAGATTTTCAAATGAGCAACACTGGTTTACAATGTACAAACGTGAGCTATCAAAAGATGTAACTCACAGAAAGGCATTAGAGACAGGTAGTAATAGGCATGCATAGCACATTTTATTAGGGTGTGCCACCGGGGGTCCTCTCCCCAAATTATTTTTCATTTTATATAAGATGAATATTTAACGGAGTTCATCAATTTAAGAGGTTTATTTATTTTTGTAAAATACTTAAAAGAACATTCCCAGCCCATTAACAACTTAAACACATTTTAGTGTGCCATATTACCTTCAAGAGTTAAACACCAAAGTTTGAGCTCCAGAACCAGATATCATTGCCCCCAGCTTCTTTCCTCTCTTCCCAACAGTTTAAGGAAATCCTAACCAGGTTTTAAAGGTTCCCAACAGTGGCGTACACACAATCCATGGGGTCCCAGCGCAAAACTGATCCGTGGGCAACCCCCCCCAGTTCATTTGGCAGGGCTGCTTACTGTGCATGAAGCTTCTCCAGTGGCCTTTAAAGGAGTGGCCACTTGGAGGTGTCCCTAGGGGCAATGTAAACACTGCCTTTTCTCTGAAAAGACAGTGTTTACATGAAAATGCCTGAAGGGAGCTATTACACTCACCGAAACAACTACAGTAAGCTGTAGTCGTTCTGGTGACTATAGTGTCCCTATAATGTAGTATTCACAGTAATAAAACTCTCATATCTCACCATCTTACATTACTCTGTACTAGTAATCTTCACATCTGCCCCATTGGATTTCTTCTCATATCCTTAATTCCCTTCTTTCCTTACTCCTTGTGTCCTTCTTTCCAGATTTTCCCCTTGCCTTCTGCCACACCCTCCCTCCCACACAGCCTTCGTCATATTCTCCTCATCTTCTCCTCCAACTTCTGTTTCTCTCTCTCTATTGTCCCCCTTAACACTGTCCCCCACACCATCAATTTTCACCATGTTCTTCCCCTCAATTTCAGTTTCTCTTTTCATATTCCTCCCCACCCCCCAACACCTTCTGTTCCACTCTCCATATTCTCTCCCCATATCTTCTATACCACTCAATATTCTCCCCTCACACCTTCTGTACTGTAACGGATCACCTGGCACCCCGACTTGGCACCTCCGTCAATGGATGCTTCCTAGCTGACGCTGAGGACTATAAGCACTTCACCGGACACCACAAGCACTGCAGACTCCACAACCGCCGTAGCTTAACTGGAATCTCGCCGTCTTCTTCCCACCCTGGAACCACCTCTAACATCCAGGACCATGTGGGAAAGACCCCTCCTCCAGGAGAGCGTAACAGGAAGAGCTAGTGATTATCCAAGGGAGTATAATGAGTATAGCAATCCCTGGTAACAGTTTCCCCCAATAAGAGACATAACTCAGTATGGAGGGTGAAGTAAGACTGAAGGTTTAATGGGACAGGTTGGCTTCATATACAATTCCTCAGGCAAGAGGCACACCCTTTGGACCTGATGGAGCACCGCACTACAAACTGTACAGACCAATAAGAACAATATAACAATGTCCGACACTACCACATACAGCACACAATCCCTCCCCTCTGTCTGTGATATAATTTAGGTAGTTAATGCATTAACTTAATTATCCACAGGCAGAAAAAAACACACATTTTCATAAAGTCGAATAAGTACCCCAAAACACAGCAAATCCCCTGATAGCCCTAATCTAGGTGTCCAACATATCCAAAAATCACCCAGATCAGATCAGGGGTTCAGAAATTCTATGGAAGTCATAGTTTTGACCCACCGTGCACATAGTCCCATGCCCAAAACAGTTCCAGAGATTTAGGGCTAACGGTCGGTCTCTCTGTCTGGAGTACAAAAGTACATACTTCACATGAACAGAGCCTTTTAAAGTGCAATGTGCAAGGTATATTGCAGGGCCCATAGTCACAGGGTAAAAGGCTGGCAAGTAGTCCACTCCAAGAACCAGTGGCGAAGTTGCTTTCGGCACATGAACCTTGTGTTGTTTTGGGTAATGCATAAAATCAGTTATGGACAGGACCGGCACGTCCTAGAGGCGACTTAGGCAGTCGTCTAGGGCACAAGTTTCGAGTGACCCGGCAGGAGGGAAGCGCACTGCGCTCCCTCCTGCCAGTCACTCAGTGTAGTGTCCACTAAGGGACGGGAAGAGATCATTAAGGGTCTCACACACAGACACACCGAATCATATAATGCATCCTACACTCACACAGAAACACACAAAGCTTCACTTTCACACACAGAAACACACAATACAACCATCACACACACACAATGCATCCCTTACACAAACACAATGCATACCTCGCACACACATACACACACACACACAATGCAGCCCTTGCACACATACACAAAAGCACACAATGCATCCCTTACACACACTGCATCCCTTACACACACACATAAACGCACACTGCTTCTCTTACACACACACACTGCATTACATTACATACAAACACAGATTCACACAATGTATCCCTTACACACAAACACACACTGCATCCCCTATACACACACACACTATCCCTTACACAAATTGGTATACCTATACACTGCATTCCATAAGAACACACACACACATTACATCCTCTACAATAACCCATAACACATCCCCATCACACATACACTCCACTACTCCCTGTGAGTGAACTCTTGGGTGGGCCTTGAAGGCATACTCACGGTCAGGCCCTGTAAGAGGCCCTGGTTCATTGTTTTTTGTGAGCACTGCCTCCAGAGAGCCTGTTTAAACACCAGACCAGTGGAACCAAACTGCAGCCTGAGCCCATCATCATCCTCTTGTCCTCATCTGGTGGTAAGTAGGCAATCCAGTATATTACTAGTGGCACTAATCTCTAATTTACCTCACATTAAAGGGACACTATAGTCACCAGAACCACTACATCTTACTGTAGTGGTTCTGGTGTCTATAGCCTGTCCCTGCAGGCTTTTTAATGTAAACACACTGCCTTTTCAGAGAAAAGACACTGTGTGCAGCACTGGCATTGGCTCATATGGCAGATCATATTGGTAGGGCATTGTGAAGTCACATGGTGGGCATATCATATAGGGGGCGGCAAATTTATGTTTGCCTAGGGCGGCAAAAATCCTTGCACCAGCCCTAGTTATGGAATGTGCTATCATTCAGAGAAATTCATATTTTTTTACCTTGTTTAAAGTCAGTTGAGGCTCATTGTAGAATGCCTTTCCCAGAACTGGCTTTCTGTAGGTTTCATCCACATCTACCATTGCCTACAAATGATACAAATGTTAAACCAAAAGGTGCAAACTAAATACTCACAGGAAAAAGACAAGCACTTTTTTAAGATTAAAATCCCTCTCATCCTACAATTTTGTTAGCAGAGTCCATGGTTTTCAATGTTATAAAATATCTCAATAAAGTAAAAGACATTAACCAGGATACAGTGTTTTAGACAATGCTTAAAGAGATTTCTGCAGTACTTTGGTCTCTGGCAAATGATTAGAATGCAAATTACTTTTGGGGACAATATGCCATTCTTACAAATCTACTTCTTTCTGATTTTGTGCGTTTCCTGAAGTGAGGGAATTGATAGATAATGCAAGGGCTTGAAAACTAAAAAGCCATCAATCAGACATCCCATCTGCCAATAGTGAGGGCTCTACATACTAAAGGAACTTTAGTTTTTAAATAAATATGCATCCATATTACCCCATGTTGGTGTACTCTGTATGAAATTATATTTATATAAATAAAAGTTAGGAAGCACACACAATATGCATTTTTTGGGGGGGAAATAGTATAATCAGCCTCAGGCCCTCACTCGCTGAAAAATAAAAAGCTGCTGGCAATCTGACAAACAGCACTGCTGTCAGTAATTGCTTCAGAGAGAAATAGATGGGCATTCAATGCTTCTCTATACGATGCATTTGGGTTGTGGAATGCGGTGATGGTCGTGCATGTGCCATATATCTGCAATGCTTCTCTAAAAGCATCACATTGGAAAGATCAGTCGTAACCAGGAGGATCAGGCTAATGTGAGGAGTCTGTCCTGGCTGGTGCTGGATTTTAAGTAAGTTTACAACTTTTTTTAATGAGTTAAAAAAATCCACATGGGTCCTGTAATCTAAAAGTAATAAGGAACACATATAATGTATAAATACATTATAGAATTCTATTTTTATTAAATGATCTTTTAAATGATCCTTTACTCTTACCACCTGTAGACTACCCAGATACTATAAATACGATTAGGATACCATAATTTCATGATCTGCTGTTTTTGTTTTTTTTAGTTACTAACATAGAATTCAGAGCAGGTACCATATTCCAAAATTTGTCAAAGGCGATAATGAACCCAGAGCAAACACCACGAAGACCCTTGAATGTTCGAATATGGACTTTAACTCGGATTCTGTCTTGGATACAACGATTCAGCTCTCCCAAGGGACTACCCACATGCACTGGAAGACAAAATACAAAATAAAAATTAACTGTTTCACAAAGGCCAGAATTAATCTGTTATCCACATTGTCTATAGCAGAACAGATATACAAACAAAGTACAGAAGTTAAAAATGTACCAAATTCTCAAATAACTCAACCTGTATATGTTACCATTTAATACCAACCTCTTTTTTCACCGCTGGTTGCCAAATGTTTAACCCTTGCTCACTGTGCCTATGGGTATCTGACATACCTCAGTGAAAAGGCACACCAAGGTCAAAGTGATCTATGGGGCTATTGTATCAAAAGGAGCTTTGCAGTATTTTGGATCTGGACCACTTATTCAGTTGAGATTAGTCTGACATGCAAAAGGTTTAGGTTCTGGCACAATATGAGCTATAACTTGCTTACTAATAGAGATGTCGCGAACCGTCCGCCACGGTTCGTCGCGAACCGTCCACCACGGTTCGCCACGAACCGTTCGCGGCGAACTCCGGTCAGCTGACACATCCCGGCCAATCTCCAGCAGACCCTCCCTCCCAGACCCTCCTACTTCCTGGACAGCATCCATGTTGAAGGCAGCTGTGGGTATATCTACTAAACAGTGTTTTTAAATATATTTAGGCAGTAGAGTCTCCCTTTAATTGGGTGAGTGAGGAGCCGTTTTGTTTGTGGGGGGGGGGTTTTTGTGTTTTTTTTTTTTTAAATCCACAGTAAAGTTATATAATCCTATGAGATATTATAGAGTGGTGTTTGTTTCATAAATTTGTAGTTTGTTTCTACTAGTAGAATGGTAAAATGTTTAAAAATTCCGTGGCACAAAAGTGTAAACCAACAAGGGGGGAAACTCACTTTTCTGAAAAATTACATGAATTGCACAAAACATTGAAAATCATATATAACTTCTAAAACCACCTGCATTGATAAATCTCATCATTCTCAGCCATCAGGAACTCTGTTTAGAATCTAAACAGTGTCTGATAGTTTGGAATTCCAGTACTTGACTCCAGTACAGGTTAATGGATAAGGGAACGATAAGTAAAACAGCCCCAGACCCTCCCTGTCCCTATTCCCATACTGTGTTGATAAACATTGCTACATTGTATAACTGCACAGGACAGCAATGGGTTTAGAATGGTGAATTGAATGCCCCCCTCTTACCCCATACTCACATGGCATGCGGGTCAGCACATTTTTGGGGGTCTTTTTCCTCCTGGGTTTGGGTGGGGTAGCTCCTTCCTCCTCCGGCAGCATCAGCTTTTTGAGCCTTTCTATACGCCCGGGGTCGGGGGCCTGCTTGCCCTTGCGGCCTGCCTTCTTGGTCCCCTGTCCCCGGGCTCTCCCCCGACCCCCTCCCCGCAGGAAGCTCTCATACTCCGCCAGGTTGTTGAAGCAGCGCACATTGGGGTATGGCAGCGGGGTGTGCGGGGTGTACAGAGCCAGGAGCGGGTCAAAGGACTCCGAGCTGACATCCAGTCTGCATGCGGCAATGTCCTCTTCATCCTCGGCCATGAGATCACGCTGGTCCCCGGCTTCGGCCTGCACTGCCCGCGCTTCCAGGTTCTGCTTAGCAGCATCAGACTCCATGTGCAAAGAGGTGTCTTACCACAGATACACACTAGGTGGCAGTATAAGTCCAGCATGTTCGTAAGCAGTGAATGATTGTACAGGGTGGCCCATAAGTCCCTACCTAACCATATATCTTATGTATCCAGTGTATCTGTGTGCTGGATTGGTAGGGACTTATGGACCACCTTGTAGAACCGCTAGGGAACACGCGGCACAGTGAAAAACTCTTTAGATAAACGGAGAAATCACACAGATCGCGCATAAAGTTTATTTTAAAAAAATACAGAATTTTTTTTCATACTTACTGCAATTCTCTTTTCCTGGTTATTATTGATGGCAGCATCACTTATGGGTAGCTCCAAAAACAGGAACAGGACAGGAAAAATGTCAACCAATCTGAAAAAGACTGAACGCATAAAAGGTCCCTCCTCCTTCTACTCCACAGTCTAGTTTAAAAGCTTTAAAACAAAATAAGGGAGGGTTGCTGATGCTGCCATGAATAATAGCCTGGAAAAGAAAATTGCTGTAAGTATGATAACATTTTCTGTATTCCTGGCTAATCATGGCAGCATCACTTATGGGTAATACCCAAGCGCAACTATATTGATGGGAAAATAAATACTTCATACACAGAGGATAGTACACCTCTACCAAAGGCCGTAGAAGGCAAAGCCAGATCCAATTTATAGTGCTTTATGAATGTCTTAGGGGAAGACCAGGTAGCTGCCCAACAGATGTCTTCAGATGAAACCTCTGCCCAGTTAGCCCAGGAGGTTGCCAAAGCCCTTGTGGAGGGAGTCTTAATTCTACTTTTTTAATTGATAAGCCTTGATTATTATGTTCGAAATCTAATGCTTCATAGTGGAAGCAGATGCTGTTTCTCTTCTTCTGGTCCCTGTTGGAAGAACAAACAGGTGTTGGGACTTCCGAAATTGTTGACACACTTCTAGGTACTTGATCAGGCATTGTCTGACATCCAGTTGATGAAGTTTCACTTCTGATGTAGAAGAAGGAGATGGATGAAAAAGAAGGAAGAACAATTTCCTGGAGAAAGTGGAAATTAGAGACCACCTTGGGTAGAAATTTTTGTCTAGGTCTCAAGACCACCCTGTCGTGGAAAACTTGAATATGGTTCTCATCACAGGAGAATGCATGAATTTCAGACATGCGTTTTGCTGAGGTTATAGCCACTAGAAACAGAGTCTTATAAGTTAGCAAGACAATACACAGCTCATCTAATGGAGCAAAAGGGGCTTCTGACAAAACATCCAGCACTATAGGCAAATCACAAGGAGGAGAATAATTCCTGTTTAGCGGTCTGATACGGATGGGCGCTTTAAAAAACCCCAGAAATCAGTGGATCTGATGTCCACGAAACATTGCATAGGGTGGACAGTGCTGATGATTGAACCTTTAGAGTACTTAGGCTCAGCCCTTTATCCAGACCTGCATGAAGGAAATGTAAAATGTTAATGCTGTTAGGATGAAGGAAATCAATAGCATTATCTTTAGACCAGGAATTAAAACTCCCCCATATCCTCTGATAGCAAGCTGATGTTGAGCCTTTTCTAGATTTTAGGAGAGTATCAATCACCGTCTCTGAAATACTTTGTGCTAGGAGTCTCTCTTTTTCCAGAGCCATGCCCCCAAGTTCAGCTGGTTGGGATTGAGAAGAACTGCCAGTCCCTGAGTTGGTAGATCTGGTCTCTGAGGCAGTGGCCAAGGATGTTCCATGCTCATCCTGTTGAGGAGACGAAACCAAGGGCTCCTCGGCTAAATAGGGATGATCGCAATCACTGTCTGACCCTCTACCCAGATCTTTCTCAGTAGTGTGTGAATCATCGGTAGGGGTGGGAATGCGCACCCCAGATCGAAGTTCCATGGGAGGGACAAGGCGTCTTGTCCTGCTGCTAGATGATCCGTATGGAGAGAGTAAAACTTGGGAACCTGAGCATTCTTGTATGAAGCCATCAGGTCGATCTGAGGTCTGCCCCACCTCAAAAAAAACTTCTTAATTTAACTTCCATTCTCCTTGTTGAACCATCGTTCTGCTGAGGTACTCTGCCAACACATTGTCTGGCCCCGGGAGGTATACTGCTTTCAGGCCTTGTAAATTGTATTGGGCAAAAATCATTGTAGGACTCAACTCTTTTAGAAGGGACTTGCTTCGGGTACCGCCCTAATGATTTATATACAAGGCAACAGCCCGGTTGTCTGTCTGGATTCTGACCCAAGCATTCCTCAGGTGATGACGAATCCCCTGCAGAGTTCTCTTTTAGATTCAAATGAAGATTTTTCTCCTTCGTCGACTATGTACTCTGAATTCCCTTTTTGTTGGGAAATAGTTGAATTCAATCTTCTAACCCTCCCTTAGAATTTAAAGAACCCATGAATCTTGAATGTTTTCGGTCCAAACCGGATAGTAGATGTGAAGTTTGCCTTCTATAATACCTGGCTGGACCTACAAACGTTCAGAAGCTCTTGGCCTAGATTCGTTGGCCTAGATCCTCTTCCCCTAACTGGTTTAGATGAGGTTGATTGATAACTTCTCCAGTTAGCATTCCTGGAATATTCCCTTTCAGGCCTATATGCTCTACTGTCCTGAAAGGATCGGTCTCTGAATTTCTTATCTTTCTAGGAAGATGCACCAAATCTTCCTTTTCCTTGAGGGAGAAAAGCCTTTTTCACATCAGCCGCTTTGTGAATGTCATCCTCCAGTACTTTCCCAAAAAGTAAGTCACCTTGAAAAGGGAGCGCACATAGAGAGGCTTTTGAAGCATAATCTGCTCCCCAAGAGTGTAGTCATAATGCTCTTCTTGAGGTCACAGAAAGAGCCATGCTTTTTGCTACCATCTTGGTAACATCCAGGGAAGCTTCTGAGCAAAATTCAGTAGCTAACTTTAAATCTTTGAGGCCTTCTATCAGGTGTTCTCTACAGACTCCTCAAGTGATGTCTTCCTCCAGATTCTCAATCCAGACTTTTAGAGCTCTGGATAAAGTTGTTAGGGCAATCGCTGGATGCAAGGCCAACCCAGAGCCACATAGGCTTTTATAAGATTGGCATCCAAGCGCTTTTCCATTGGCTCTCTCAAATACGCCATGGAGTCTATGGGTAGAGTTGTTTTTTCCCAATGTAAATGACTACTGCGTCAATTTTCAGAACTGAAATCCATGACTTGCAGTCCTTATGAGCATAAGGGTATAATTGGGACATCTTCCTCTTTAGAGTTTTAAGAACCTCAAAGTATCTGTCAGACTCTTTTTTTATCTGTACTTACTTCTGGAATTCTCAAGGTGTCTCCGATGAACCAGCTTATCCACAGCCCTGGAATCCAGGGATTTTGAGGTAATCTCTTCATCTTCTTCTTCTGAGAAATCCTCTAACAAATCAAAGTCTTCATTGGAGTCTTTTCCTATTCTTCTGCTGTCTCCGCTAGGCATGTTCTGCACAGATTTTTACCATTAGGTGCTGTAACGGATCACCTGGCACCCCGACTGGGTACCTCCGTCGATGGATGCTCCTAGCGCTTCTTGAGGATTCCAAGCACTCTAGCCGACACCACAACCACCGTGAATCTCTCTTCCTTCAGAGCGAAGTAGGAACAAGCTCTTAAAAGAGCTTAGGAGTGATTATAGCAAGGGAATATGCAGAGCATCTTGGCCCCACTAGATAAGCCTATAGCAGAGGCAACCAGGTTGGCATGCAGAGAGGATGCCCGACAGGAGATGTGGGAAGAAACCCTAGAGTGTCCAGCGTTGGCGGGGTGAGCGTCTCCCCAGCAAGGAGCAGCGACTACAAGCCCGAGTGGCCCTACAAATGCCTATGCTGGGAGACCAGCCCAGGGAGGAGTTGGTGATCCAGCTTGATTCACTGGCATGGAGGGAACTGGGTCTCGATGATGCATACCAAGCGCTACGGTGGTACGCAGTTCAGCGTGTTCCCAGACTGGCCAAGTATGACAAACCAGAGGGCAAGGATTACAATGGCCCTGGTTTATTGTGGGGGACCTTTGCAGAACCGGACTTTGAGAGTGCGGCCGAGTCACAACTTTGGGACATATTTGCCTACAGAGAGGCCATGCTGGACCTCCCTATGGCTGAAGACCTAAGGCCAGACCTGATTGAATTGGCTTTCCAGGAATGGGAACTGGAGCAGGACTACCAGCACCTGATCAGCTCCAGTCAGTCACCCTATACCCTGCAGGTACCACCAGAGTAGTGGGAGTTCGAACAGGATAATGCCCTTTTATTAGATGCAGTAACACCGCCTGTTTCTAACCTGATGGGCTCATGGACTGTACACCATTGGGAGCGTTGAGTTTTGTCCCTCCTCCCCAACAACTAAGCCCGTCATCAGGAGACCTGGGGTCAGTACCACCTCCCCCCCAACCAGAACCCGAGGTGGGAGACCTTATCGACTGGTTCTGGGAAGACCCTCAGCTGACAGGTGGAGGAAAGACCAAGAACTCTCCACCGGCCCTACAAAGATGTTGGGTAGCCGGCCCAGGTCGCCAACCACAGATAGATATGGTAGGAGTAGGGGCAGTCGGTCCCTCTCCACAGTGTGCTGAGTACGAATATGTAATTTTTATGTTTGTGGCATGTATATTTTTGAAGTTATTAATATTTTGTAAAAACTGTATTTCTCTGCCTGTGATAATTATATTAACCATTGTGTTCAGTAATCATATCACAGGCAGAGGGGAGGATTTTGTGTGGGAGTGTCTGTGTGTATTGTACGGATTGATTGGTTGTATTTCAAAACCCTGTGGGCAGTACTATGTTTGTGGATTGTGAATAAAAGAGGCTGTATGTGCCAGTACAGTCAGTTCTACTTCATCCTCAATCTGAGTCCTGGGAGCTCTAGTCCTTACAAGGACTTTCCCCATTGAATCCCCTGCAAGCTGGAACAGCAGACACAGGGTTAAATCTTCATTCCCCACACAGTTTTGAAATGCAAGCTGGAATCTTTAATGGCAGCCACAACTGGCCTTATATGCATGTCCCCATGCAAGGGGCACTCCCCCTGGACCTTGTGGGGGACTGCAGCACAAAGTCACAGACCA